CAACTTTGTAAGATCTGAGGAGAGACTGGAGCTCAGGGACTGTAGACACCTTCACACCCATAGCCCGCGCAATAACTGTGTAGACAAAGTCGAACCTTTCAATTTCTTCGAAGATGCTGGAGGTACTCCGCAACCACCTGCGGCGATGTTGTAGTGGGAGATTGCCTTCGCTGTGCAGTATGCTTCAAAATTCTTCCATTTGTCATCATAGAGTGACCTGGTAGAAGTACGGTGCGCCATGGTGACTGCCATAGCGACTCAATTGGAATATCCCTTTTAAGTTAGCGATCTATGTAAATGCGCCAGGCATGAAGATGGAGCGTGAGCGGAGACCAATACAGCTGATCGGAGTGAGGATGAACCAGAAGACCGGGCACGATCAGGAAGCGGTACTGGATTTGGATCGGCCAGTTCTTGTAGGTCTACAAGCCAACTTCTGGTCGGCCAATAAGGCGTGACCAAAAGCAGTGTCATCCGCTGTGATTGACGCGAGTTGCAAACAGATCCACTGTCGGGTTCGACATCGGAAGGGACAAAGTCTGGAACACCTGCGGGTGCAGCTTCCATTCCGTCGGGGATGGTGAATCGGGCGGGACAGTGAATCTGCAATGACGTTTTTTCACCCCTGGGATATGACTGGCCTGGACTGAGATGATGAGAGTGTCCACCAAGTGAAAAAAATGTTGTTGTCCACTGAAGCAGCTGAGGAGACCCCATGGATCCCATTCGATTGATGTGCCACACGACTGCAGCGTTGTCCGATCGAATTAACAGCTTGGTTGATTGTAGAAGGTGTTGCCAATGAGTGATTGCTAAATCACTGCCCTCATCTCCAGAATGTTGATGTGGCACGTGTGGTCTGCGAGAGACCACAGCCCTGCCACTTGCTGATCGAGAAGGTGAGCTCCCCACCCATGTAGAGAGGCGTCTACGTACAGGTGGTGAGTCCGCCGCAAACATTCAATTTGTCCATTTACCACGGGAGATGGGGATGGAGTGCCGGAGGAAGAGCGATCAACACACGAAGATTGCCTGCCCTAAAGTGTGGAGCCAGAAAGAGTTTGAGAGGCCGAAGCTGAAGTTGAACCCTGAGAGTCAAAGCCTGGGCCGATGTCAATAAACTCAGAAGCTCTTGCCATTGACGAAGAGTCCTGGGTTGTGATAGCACAAGGGGAACTAACTGGTTGATCTTGTCGAAACATTCCTTCGGAACAAAGAGTTTGTTGAGCTCGGTGTCAAACACCGCCCCGATAAACTGCAGGCGTAATGTGGGGACTAGTTCTCATTTCCGCATGTTCATGAGCCACCCTAATTGGCGAGGTAGCTGAATCGTGAAATTCATGTGACGCCGCAATGGAGCATGATCTGTGCCTGAATGCAGTCGTCTATATACGCCTCGAATATGATCCCTGTTCAATGTAGAAAACTGGTGATGGGCATCGTCACTCGTGTAAATAGCCACGGGGCCGTGGAAGTGCCACTCGGGAGGACACGCCACTGGTAGTTCGTGCCCTCGAAGACGAAGCAAAGAAACTTTCAGGAAGATTGGCACATGAAGGTAGGCGTCCTGTAAGTCTAGGCTGATCATATAATCGCCCGGCTTGATGATAGTTTTGGGAAGTGCTACTAAAACCATCCGGAAATGAGGAGGTTGTTGCAAAAACATCTCGTTGAAAATCTTCAAGTTAAAGAGTCCTTCTTTGGGACCAGGAGTATGGGAGAACAGAACCCGCAATAGGACTCTACCGCAAATTTCTGAACCAGAGTTTCTATGGTGGACTGTAGGACTGGTGTCTGATGGGCGGGATATGTCCTCCATAAATATGACAAGAAGTGAGCCAGCTGGTCAACGGGGGTAACATGATCAGCATCGCAAACCCATGTTCATGCGCAGAAGCAAGATTAAATCGAGGCGTAGCAAATCCTCCGACTGTCCTCCATAAATATGACAAGAAGTGAGCCAGCTGATCCACGGGGGTAACATGATCAGCATCGCAAACCCATGTTCATGCGCAGAAGCAAGATTAAATCGAGGCGTAGCAAATCCATCTTTGACTTTCCAAAGGTTGTCAAAAGCCTCATCCAGAGAAGCCGTCAGCTGAGTAATGCAGGGACGAGGAGGAAAAGTAATAGAGCCAAATTTCCCCGGTCTCATATCAAAGCAGGTGAGAAGGTCTGATGGCGATCTGCTCCGAGATAAGTGTACATTGTCTGCAATCCAGGTTAACAGTTGGGGCGTCTCAACCGCATCGATGCTTGTATCAGACGTTGAGATACAATCCGACACAGGAGCAGCCGTGGCCGAGGGAAGTGCTTCATCCAAAGAGGGAGCCGACACAGTCCTGGGACCAGACGGCCGTGCTACAGGAACCAGTACTGAGGGGTTCTGACCCAGCGCCGAAGCCACCGCTCTAACGATGGAATCAAAGTCGAAGGGCCGGGGTGCAGTAACATCTGCAGACGGATTCCAAGACACTGGACGAATCGGTCTAGAAGAAGATGAAGACGTAGTCACAGGCAATGCCGAAGACACAGGAGGCACATATGATCTAGTGTCGGGCATAGGATGATGAAGTGATGGATAAAAAGGGAGCGCTGAACATCCCAAAGGCATAGTCTGAAGAGGCGCACCGGGCATAAGAGCTGAACTGGTTGAAAGCGGCGCTCTAGGAGGGTGCGCCGAACCCAAAGGAGCCAATGTATGAGATAGTTGAGTAGAATGAAGCGACGCACTGGGGTAGCAACCATAAGTCATCGATGTTGTAGCATGAGACCCTGCCGTGGGTGGAAGCATTGGACCATATAAAAGCGGCGCATGGGAGAAAAGCAGTGGAGTGACATAAGAACGTGGTTGATACGGTCAATGCTACGGTAGACAGCTAGGGAAGGTAAGAGAGCGAGCGCATTGAGACAAAGCGCCGAACTGGATGAAAGCGGTGCATTGGGGTAAAGAGCTGAACCGGCTGAAAGCGCTGCATTGGAGTGAACGCTCTGACTAAGCACACACACTACTGTGTGGAAAGCGAAGTAACCATCCCAAGCGGCACACTGGAAACAACTGGAGGGCCTGTTGTGAAAACAGGCGCCTGGGACTTGGTAGCTAAAGCAGACGGTCGAGGCGGTGCGATGGAGAAGTAGTTAAAACGACCACTCTTGGAGAACAAGCCTGTGAAGTGACGGGATTTAACGTTTGAGGGCGAAAGTGTTGACGCAAATTTTCACTCAGATATGAATCAGAAGCCGCCTCTAAAAATCCTCATCTGGTGGCGGTGATTTAGATCGGCTAACAGCCACTTTAGTATGGCGGTCCGTCTTAGCATGTTTGGATGATGAAGGGCCCTCAGAAGTCTACGTTGATCTCTATCTGCCATTCTTCTCGATCCAACTCATCGATAAGCCGAGAAATCATTGTCTTCCAGGTCACACCATCCCATGCAATCCACACAGAAAGTATGAGGATCGGCGGCTAAAAAGTGGCTCTTGCATTTCTCACAATGTTTCCGTTTACGTGAAGAACTTAGATTAGATTTGCCCATGATAAAGCAATCAAATTCTTTTGTCTAACTGAGATAAACAGCACACGTCCACTCCACTCGGTGTAGCGACAAGAAAGAGAATAACAGCAGGGCTACAGATAAGGGGCGTACAGGCGTAATGTACGCCTCAAAATCAATTAAGTACGACGTAATATAAGATTTCAAGCGTATTGTGTACGCACATAAATACCTTTGTACGTCTAACATTTAATTTCCGTGCGTATCGTGCAAATGGAAATCTATTTCGGATAAATACTTGTCAAGTTTCTTTTGCGAAACACGATTTTACACATGAGGAAACCTCGACAGTAGGAATCCCTTGTGTTGCCATGCAACGATATGCGTCACTATTTTTCGATTGGCTAAAAACTACACTGTTCCTATTTATATCCAGTCGGACCTGACATTTCGCGCATCACACGGTCGCTCCTTTATTTCTCACGCGTCTTCAAATACAAATACATGGTTGGAAATAGTGATCGATGAATCGTCCAGACAAACCACATCACCAACTCGCTCACACAAAAACATGTCAGTACTCCTTCAAAATTCTCAGTACACCTCAACTTGCAATATGACGTGTAAATACACTCGCACCCCCAAAAGTTATCTGGAGCCCTGAACAGTAATGGGAGAGAGATCTTAGAGATCTGCACGCTTATAGAGATGATTGACAGGTCATGCTATTGGAGTAGGGGCAGAGGTCAGGTGGGTCAGAAGGAGTAGGGGCAGAGGTCAGGTGGGTCAGAGGGAGTAGGGGCAGAGGTCAGGTGGGTCAGAGGCCGTAAGGATTTGACTCAACTTAGCCTATAGCACGTCTACACACATGGGTCGTAGGAGAAGAAAAGAGGTGCATACCGTGAGATAGGACAAGTTTAATAATCTTAGTCCTTCCTGTGATCTTGTAGCCTGGCTGACCAGCAAGGGACTTGACCTCAGCTGACTACAACCTGAGGACATCACACTCAAGACAGTCTTTGTATTGTTTGCTTCATCTACACTCACGTTAGTCGAGTATAAATTCCAAATACTCTTGCTTAAGAGCAAGATTCAAAGCGTTCTTTTTCCGTGCTCCTTGACTACTGGTCGCTAAGTATTGGAAGGATAACTGAGGATCACAGGATTTGTATTTGACGACTTTTATGTCGAAAAATCCTGTAACTTGGTGCCACCCATTCCCTGGGAGTTTGTGTTTAGTATCACGAAGGGGTTTTATTAAGCAATCCGTCCATCACAAGTTGAGTCTGCAATCTGAACTTAGTTCAGTTCTTGAGCCCAGCTTCCATGTGAACTAGGCCACTCATGCTTGTGGTATTCCTACAGACTAGGGTAATCTGTGTTCAATCTGTGTTCCCGTTGTGTCCATGCCAGTGTCATAACAACAAGGGAAAGGAAGTAACACGAAATAGGATAAGTATTATAAATATACAATGAATAATTAAATTTTTCAAACTTCATACTTACTTCTATAATTGGTCTTGGTTTCCTTTCTACTTTGAACTCATATTTACATATCTCACATTTGGTTGTGTTCGAGGTACCCAGCCACCTTTCAAGGCAGGTCAAATGGAGGGCGCCAACACTTCCAGTACAATAGCAAGGAGAGACAAGTTCTTCACTGCTGTCTCCATCATGGCAAATACGACACACTACAGAATCACTGCAACAACAAATATTATGAAATGGGGGGAAAATGTTTCAAAGTGGTTCTGAATAGGACATTAATAATTCCCAAGGAGTGGTACAATAAGCAAGCCTCATCCCATTTGTTGGCTCTCACAGTACACAACTGTGATGTCATGAAGTAATACACAACAGTACTTATATACAGAAATGGGCCATGTGTTTGTGGCAAACATCTGAATTGTTGATATGATTTATTCAGTGCAACTACATGATTTGTCAATTTCCTCACAATTAGCTGTTCTTTCCCTAACATTATGTCATGCTTCATGTCATCACGTTTCCAATCTTGTATGTACACTACTTTCTACCATAGTTTCAGTAAATACTTGGTTCGAAGCTTTAACTAAATTTGCAGATAAACTCTTCATGGAGACAAACCTACTTTGTTTTGAAATACAAAATAGTATAACAGATTTATACAAGCTCTAAATATGATATTTAAAACTCAGGCTAAGGTGTTAGGTGGTTACAGAGTCTGAGTTTGATGAATGCAATACAACAATTACACAATGAATTATATTGCATTAAATTATTTATATTTTCCTGATTGAGCAAGAGAGTAGGCTGTGACCCTATTTCAGTTATACCTTAACATGTGGGGGGAGAGTCTGAAGTGACACAGGTCTAAGACATTTCTACTTCGAAGAAAACAATGCTGTGTACAGAACTGACAAAAACAACAATCAGGCCAAATAAACAAAATGTTGTGGTTCCAATTACACCTCTTAAAAATTTAGGGTAGGTTGGTAGGAATTCTTTTTTTCATTAATATTTTTTTGGAAGGAAAGTATGAATTAATAACACATTTATCAATGTATAATTGTTATTCAAACAAGCTTGCGGCCATCATGTCGACATTCTCAATCAGAATGACTGATGTCCATCAGTGCCGGGAAAAAACACTGGTATCTGAAAGTTTATTTTATGCATACCTCTTTAAAAAACTAGGGTCGGCACCAGAATTCAAGGGTTGGTCGGGTAATCGGAACCACAACATATTTTTTTTAGGCCTCATAACATGAACCCATGCTCCAGGGATCCTATAGTATACATAAATCGACAACACTACAGTGCCTTATACAACTGAACCTCCGTACACCTGTAGGACTGCATAGGGATGAATAATTATGATATAATGCACCTAATAATTTAATCATGTTTTAAAAAATCAACTTGCCACCAAATTCATACTGTGGAGTAAGTCTTTTAAAGATCTTTTGACATTGTTGACATAAAATATATAAACACTCACTGATTTTCCAGCAAAAAACATACCCATCAACTTCACTGTTTTGCTACCATGACTATTGGTAAACAAAAAAGAGAAAACTGGCAAGAGTATGTGTGTACCTTTCACTTGTATTACATTGGGATGTTGACATGGAAATAATCTGATCTGGAGCTGGGGTGCTGGTCTGGTTGGGAACCTGGGGTGATGGAGGAAGGGAGGCTATGCTTTTCGGTGTACTTGATTTTATTTTCAACAGTTTGTTTCTTGATGCCAACATGTCAGCCTCCTTCTTTCTTATTTCTTCCTCAAGTGACATGAGAGATGCAGAGATGGCCGCACAGAAGCTTGGGGTTCTAGTTGGTGATTTACTTCTTTGTCTGTAAGAAGATGCACTACCTATACTCTCTGTGCTTGTCGCTGGCAGTACCTACAACATTGATAGAAGAGGGTGCATGTAGAAGGTTGAATGTATTTTATATGGTAGATATTTAAACACGCCACATGAAGCAGTACACTGGGTAAGTAATATCTTCCAGTCTTATTAACAGTTTTAACGTCCCCTGTTTGCTTGGTTTGATAAGTTGTTTTGGCTGTTCTGAGCAACAGTTCCTGTTATTTGAGGTCTGACTTGGCAGCTTGTATGAGTTTGGACCAGACAAACCATTGGCTGGTATTGTGAGCACTTTTCATACCAATATGCCACTCAAGTACAGTCAATCAAATGAGCCCAACTTCAAATCTTCTACAATATTTGGCTCTTTCAAGCCTTACTGATGTGTTCCTCTAAAATAGTCACTATACAACCTGCTGTTTTAGAAACTCAACAAAATTAATAATAATTACATGTTAAGGTCCTGATGCAAATGTTACCACACTAAACGTTATTTATTCATTTCAAATTGGGGTTTATTCAGACACACATTTTCCATAGATATATCTACCTGCTGAAAAAGTCTTGTAGGCAGCATTTCATTCATGGCATCGTGGTCCTTTCCGTGGGGCACTATATCACTAAGACTTGACTCTATTGTTTCCTTTGGTAACTGAACATTGACTTGTTGTTCCACGCCAACTGTCGGCTGTGGAGTGACAGGTTTTTCTTGTATACATGTTTCAAACTGGCTTTCCAAACTTCTCCTAGCTGTTTTCTTCTTTGGAACTTCGAGAAGTTCGGTTGCAGCATAGTCTTCATTATTGTCGGGTTCGAAATAAATCGGTGACAAAGACATCTGCAAGGAGCTCGACTGATCGTTCTAGCCAGCGTTCTCGACGTCTCCGTTCGAGGTCAGCTGTGCGGAACTTCCGGTCACGTGATAACGTATTTATAAAGTTCTGTAAATAAACTTGCTTTTGTGATCACCATATTTTATATTTGTAAATGCTTCTTACTAAATAATAAATGTATTATTGCATTCGCATTAGCAAATATTTATGGGCACATATGGGAGAACAAATAAAACTCTTTCTTATTGCTATTATCTAGATCTACTTGTATTCCTTATTTCCAGTACGTACGCGTCTCAGCCACACCATGATAGAAAGTTGAATGAGCGGTTTCATTCAAAGATTTCAGTTATTTAATTGTCGTTTAATGTCGCTCCCAGTCGTGCTTTAGTTATATGGCAGATGTGTGTGAATAACATATTTTAGACCAGACATTCCAGGGACTGACATCATGCCATGACGATTGTATCCAGCCTCCCATTTCCTGGTTGCCAACCTCGGCATCGACATAACACATTCTCTTTCTTGGCGTCCACTATATGAACCCTTAGTCATACCAGTGTGATAAGTTTATCCCGATATATCAAAATATTTTCTTTACTTGTCACAGGGATAATCTACAACATCTACGTTATATAGTCTCCCTGCTTAATTGTCACTGCATAAAGAACAATAGACGAAAAATATACATCAAAATCAAAATAATGGAAGTCGTGTCCTATTTTAAGGCATCCACAGTATATGAAATAAGACAAGATAACCCTCTGTTATTAGTTAACAGTCGGTTAAATGTACTTAACGGCTGGTTATAAGATAACCGAGCTTTAGCTGGTTACGGGCTGTCTTGTTAAGATAACCGAGTATTGTCCGACAGCCCGTAACCATGCAGGTAACTTGATCTTGGCTGGCAACTTTTGGAATTGTGTGTATGATTGTGCCATTTAGATAGACACATTATCACATTCGGGTTGGCTATTGTTCTGACTTATTTCATACACTGCATCCAACCTAAGGCAATGGTGGAATATCTTACAGCTCTCAATATTGACCGGTCATAGCTCGGGAAGGCCACATTTAAGAAAAACAGAGTTGAAAATTGTGTTGCTCCCCCGGCAATGGGCATGGCTGTGTTATCGTTTGATCATGGCTCTCCCGGCAATGGGCATGGTTGAGTGATCGTGTGATCATGGCTCTCCCGGCAATGGGCATGGTTGAGTGATCGTGTGATCATGGCTCAACCGGCAATGGGCATGGTTGAGTGATCGTGTGATCATGGCTCTCCCGGCAATGCGCTATAGCTAATCCATGTAACCGTATATAATGTGAAGTATTCATTATGTAAAATCTAGAAATCCAGTTGAATTGTTCGAGGAGAAAAGTCCAGATCATGCAAACTAGTTGCCTCAAGTAGGTACTCAAATACCTTTTACGAATTATTTATGATTAAACAACCCATTATTTCTTTGAAGCATTTTAACTAATATGGGAGGATCAAATCAATGTTTTATCCCTTTCTGATAACTGTTGAGATAAAAGCTATGGTTGCCTCAGTTGTTATGTTTACATTCATGCTAAAAACTCAACAACAACAACAAACTTAGAAGAGTGACCATTTACTGCACAAATATACTTATAAACAGAAACACACTGTTTACTCTTTCCATTTCATAGCTGTTTTTAAGGAACATTTCTGACTATATTTGTCAAAATCAGTATTTTTGCCACCATTGCGGTAATGACATTTTGATTTTAAAGTAGTTTACATGAAGACATTAAAAAATACAAATAAAAGTTCTTAAGAGCAAAAGCTGAAATTGCCCTTTTCCATAGAATGACCCATTAGCATGTATCATTTTATCTCAGAACATATGTTACTAAAAACTTCAACAAGAATAAAGAAACCGCCCATCATATGTTAACTAAACAAGCAAAGGACAAGTCACTGTATTATAAAACAATTTTAATCCATTGTGATCAATGGGTGAACTTTATTTGATAAAACGGTATTGATTCCCTTACTTATCGTGGCTTTCGCGGCGAATCGAGTCACCGAGGTTTGTACTTGAAATGTGGCTTTAGCGGCAATTGATATTTTTCAAATGTGGCTTTCCCGGGCGGACACCTATTGACCTCTCACTGGCTAGAATATATGTTCAAGGAATATCGTTCGCCATGAAGTTCAGAATGTAATTCATGCTCACATTAAAGCATCGTGCATGGCAGCTTTCTTACTTTATAATATTTTAGAAACTTTGCAAACCTTTATGATGGGCGAGCAGCCCGTACACCTATTAAACTTTTAAACAATAATTATAAAAATAGATAGGGTCAGTTTTTAACGACCAGCATTGGTTGGTGATGAAGGTGTGTGTATTTTTTTAATTAGAGTTCCTTTTGGTGAATTAATAAACATTCCTAATATTAGTAATTCAGTTATGTAAATTAGAGTCAGTTTCACAGTGGCCTGGGCGAATGTGTACCGTAGTAATCATGTTGATCAACATTATTATCAACCGATCACCCCCCTGGCCCAGGGTCCCTTAGTCTGAAGCTGCTTACCGAAATATATAATTAATCGTGTCCCCAATTTCCTGAAAACCTAATCTGTGAAGGTAATCTTCTTTAAATAGACTAGTTACCCTTGTAGAATTTGTTTAGATCTAATGATATTGGTTTTAATCTAATACATCTGATAACTTATTTTACAATGAAATTCATCACTGTAAGAATTCTTTTGGAAACGTAAAATTATAGACATTTTGGACAGCATCTTAAAATTGGTGCATGGGAGATATCATAATAATGATGTCTGCGTGGAAGCATAAAGTACTTAAAACTATTTGACGTTTTAATAAAGAAACTATCAAAATATTCACTTGAAAATATGATTTGACAATACCAGTTACAATTACAAAATTTATCAAAACTGTCGCCAATACCCCGCAGTCTCATTAAGATCAGATCTTGGTTCTTTCTCCCTCAAGTGTAAGCTAACACCAAGGTTTATTGAGATGCGCAACATTGAAAATGATTATACACGCATCGAAAACATACATACCAGTGAGAACTGCCTTTCAGTGGGATGGAATCAACCACTTGAATACTTGCCATGAAAGTTTAATACTGGACTATTAAGTGAAATAGACCTCAATTTAACACTTCATGCTACAGCGGGGGCGGTGGGGTAGCCTAGTGGTCAAAGCGTCCGCTCGTCACTCAGAAGACCCAGGTTCGATTCACCACATGGGTAGGGCCTACAATGTTTAAAGCCCATTTCTGGTGTTCCCCGCCACGATATTGCTGGAATATTGCTAAAAGCGGCGTAAAACTAAACTCCCTCACTCATGGTACAGTGGAAATGTTCATCTGATACCAACAAAAGTGTCTTGTGTTGCATACAAACCCAAGAAGAATTGTGGAGATAGCGTTCAGGTTCATCATAGGCACCTCTCCATGAATACTGATATCACACAGCAATGATGTTTTACATTGTTATTGGTCTACCCTGAGATAATGAAAACTGTGCTAGGTGAGACAGAGAATATCGTTTTTTTGGAAACGTTTCATTCGGCTGAATACAGCAGTCAGAGAAGCGCGTGTATAATCATTCAGAATATCGGAGTTTGTCATTGGTAGCAGTGTCACAGTTGATATTTACACTCCCATAGATGTTGACCTGACACTAAATGAGATAGTGAATAGTCAGACAATAGGATATTGCGACCCAAAACCACCCATTTCACAATGACCACCATCATTTCACCCTCTTAATAAGCTTGAATTTATATAAGACCCCCTTTCAGTGTGCGAAATACAAGTAGTTTCTAACTTTTGTGAGCCAGTCGGGGAGCTAATGCCTGAATGAAAGTTACTAGCCGGCACAAAAATGCACTAGCCCGAAATTTGAATGTAGGAACTAGGCATAAGATTACAAAAAGGTATCAGGCCATAATCTTGCATGGATAAAAGTGCATTATAATAACTTATAATAAAGTCGGAGAGAGTGTGTGTGTGTGTGTGTGTGTGTTCCACTTACAGAACGCTCGTGTTCTAGATTTCAGAACACTCTTTGTGTGTTCTGTATGTGTTCAATTCAGAACACCCCCGGACGCCTCGGACGCTGTAACAGATTTAGAACGCCCTTTGAGTGTTCTGAGCCTTATTTCAGAACACTAGTGTTCTCAAACCTCCACCAGCCAAACATGAACGAATAAAAACCGCAACAATATGAAATGATTCAAAACTTTATTAACACCTATATTGAATACGAAAACGTTATTATCCTTTAGTTAGACCGCGGACGGCTAAATGGAGTGTAGGAGAAGAAGCTAACCTTAACTGCAACAACTCATTCGTGCACATCTTATAACATATGCAGTTAAAGTTGCACATCATTGAAGAAAACGCTGAAAAAGAGCTCATATATCTCAGGGTCGGGCAAGGATGAGATAACGTCCCCCATTTCTCTGAACCTACAAAACCATCGTGAAAGTGTAGTACATTGCCATCAGTTTCAATACCGCTGCCATGATTCCACCCTCGACATTCACCTTGCATGACACGGTGTCGGCACTTATGGCAACAGCGACGATTTCTGGGCCCACTGAGGCTTTTGTCTTCAGAGCCCCGTCAATCTCATCAACGGTCACATCCTACAATAAATAATACAATTTTACACTAAATAATTCATTTAAAAGATATGATGTGGCATGCACATTATTTCAAATTTCAACTGAACTTTTATTCATGACACACAATTTTGAATGAAAATACTGTTCTATTTCACCCACAAACAAACATGAAAAACGCTTATCCAACGGTTTTAGTCAATATAAAACAGGTTCCATTTTGTAAGAATATGCTATTCACGTTTGTACATTGTGGGAGAATCTTTGTAACCACCTACTTAATGAAAAGTCTCCTAACGTTACAGGATATAAAATAATGTAACACATGATTTTGTATGTACCACTCACCCTTTTCATATACCACTCACCCTTTTCATATACCACTCACCCTTTTAACTTCTATTATTGACCTCTTTGTGGTCTTGTTGGATTTG